TGTTCTTTCTTTTTTTTTTTAAATTATATATATATATATATATATATATATATATATATATATATATATATATATATGGGAGATGGGATGTGCTTACTTAATTATCACAGTCCGCATTGATGAGGGTTGATCGAAATCTTTTAAACCACCCTTTTCTTTTTCGATATTAATTCTCAACATGTTTGTACTTCTTGCTAAACAACTTTTCACACTGTCACCTTTGACATGAACAAAAACAGCACGGTGGAGTAATGGATAGCGGCTTGGATCGGAGAGCCGAGTTCGAATACCTGTCGAATCCATTACATTCACTTACGTGCTAATACCCTTGGGAAAGGTATGAATCCTCTTCTTCTCCCTCCAGCTATGGGTAAAATAGCAGGACAGACTGTGCTCTATAGCCTTGGATGACAACTGGTCTAGGAGAAGGACAACCCTGAATTCAAAACCTGCGGAGGGTCGTTTGGGAACCTTGTGGCATTCGGTGCACCAGGTCTCTGTATTTGTCCCTTCAAAAAGTGTGGATGGTCCTGCACGAGGCCTTCACCACTATAATCAAATCTCATGTGCCGGTGTCAGGCTGTTGGTTTCCTAGGAACTGATCTGCTTGACCCTCATACGTCGAATTCGACGGGAGAGTCGACTATATATATATATATATATATATATATATATATATATATATATATATATATATATATATATTATTGATAGCAAAACTAGCTTATTGCAAGAGCAGCACACGATAAAGCTATGGTACTTGAGAACCGCAAGACATGAACACAATTTACGCATGCGTTTTTGTTACATATACATTAACATTAAAATTACGTCTTAATCCAATGGAGTCTCAATCCATACCCAGTAAATAATTATGAAGCTTGAATTTTTTCTTATTTAAATTTTATATTTACGTGATGAAAAAAAAAAGAGCTCAACCAACATATTTCAACGAGCCGCATATTAAAGGTCAAAGCGCCGCATGTGGCTCATGAGCCGCGAATTGGCCTCCATTGCTATAGAGTGTGTTAATAAAAGGCAGTTCTTTTTTTCTTCTTCTTCTTCCATAAATGTGAATAAAATTAGGTGATGTTTTCGTTCTGGTGAAGTTGTAAGCATCAGTCTCCATTAAAAATTGCTTTGCACACGCTGTTCTGATTTAATTGATATATTAGGTTGGTGCAAAAATAATGACGTAATAATGTCGTTTTTGACGTATTTAACGTCAAAAAACGACATTATTACGTCATTATTTTTGCACCAACCTAATAGTTTCCTCATGGTAAGCGACTTGCGCTTCAGGTTCTATTTACACTAAATGGGGCTTCGATCCACGCACCTACATTTACATTGATAAAGCCTGAAAAATTCTATGTCAATTTTATGCACAACAAGATGGCTGCTATACCTTTCTCTACCGCTCTTGTTTTTTTTTGTTTTGTTTTTCAATGAGATGAGAGATAAGGATTAATTTTTAATGAGATGAGAGATAAGGATTAATTTTATAACGCATTTTATAACTCGTTTTCAATGGTAATTTCATTTGATCGTTTAATCTTTAGATTTATTAATGATCCTCTTTGATAAAGATCGATCGAAAAGATGACACTTTAGAGGATTTACACCATTTTATTATTTTTCGATTGTTGTTGTTTTTGTTTAGCGGCATATCAACACCTCTATGGGTTATTTAATGCTGAACTCTAAATATCTTGAACACAATTTTATAGCTTCAACTAAATATATTTTGAACGCAATTGTATGCCTTCAATTACAGATCAAATGTATTGTTGATCATTTTGCTATTAAATATATTGCTGGTCATTTTACTATAAAATGTATTGTTGGTCATTTTGCTATAAGATGTATTGTTGGTGTTTCTACTATAAAATGTATTGCTGGTTATTTTACTTTAAAAATGTTGGTAATTTTACATATAATATCTATTGTTAGTAATTTTACTATATATAATTAATTATAACTAAATTATAATAAACATTTCGTATGTGAAATAGACGCCCAAAGTGATTTCTTGATTTGTTTGTTTGACGGCATATCAACTCCTTATCGGTCATTTAATGCCAAAAGGTAATTTTCTTGGGAGCTTTGAAGTAATAAAAATATAATATATGTTATTCCGCTTTCACAATTGAATAAATGGTAGATAATACTCAGCTTTTGTGCATATACATGTTTGTATGGACATAATTCCTAGAGATGGTGATATGTTTTTTATGTTGCAATTTTGTTGAAGCTATATTTGGGAATTTGATTTCTTTAAAATAATTGTAGGATATTATATGGCTTAGTGTCATAAAAAGTTATTTTATGTTAGTTGTTTAGTTGGTTGATTTTATTTAGCGGCATATCAACACCTCTATGGGTTATTTAATGCAGAAAGCTAAATATTTTGAACGCAATTGTATCCCTTCAACCAAAGATAAAATGTACTGTTGGTCAGTTTGCTATAAAATGTATTGTTGGTAATATTTTAAAATGAATATTATTGGTGTTTTTTTTAATATAAAAATATGTTGCTGGTATTCTTACTATAAAAAATGTATTTTTATACTTTCATGGTGTTTTGCTTTGTTTGGAGGTTAACTACTTG